ATGGAATTGACTTTAGAACTAAATGATTGCCTTTTCATAACTAGATTTATAGAAATTCTATTTTAAAATATAATTGTGTTTAGTAGAGTGATAAAATCATGTGTTATGTGTTTTATTATAAATACTTCAATATCAATGATGCAACCCCCAAAGAGTATTAATAGATTTATTTAAATCAAAGCAGAAGAAAAAGCATAGATAGGAAGAAATAAAGAAGAAAGGAAAGAAAGTAATGAACAAGAGACAATCTATTAGATTTATTTAAAATTAAGTTCAAAAATACTTACTGACAGCAGGTGCAGACACCGACAACCAAGATGATAAAAATTACCATAACTGCTATCAAACAGATCACCAAAATCTGTCTTCTATCTCCTCTCAGGTAAAATAAGTCAACTCTCTCACACCTTGCCCCCGTGTAGCCATCATCACAGCTACAAAAATAAAACAAGAAGACGACGGTGAAGTAAAGAAATGCAAGGCTTTCAACAAGCTCTACTTTCTTTTTCAAGAAATTAACATGGTTTTCATGACTTGAAATCAATATCGAACACAGCTTCTTCATTTTAAAAAAGGCTGAACACCACTTTGTTCCTGAGTAATTTTACTTCCTTTGCTTTGCTGAAAACCTGTCATCACCTGAACATTATCAATATATCTGATACACATACGCAAAAATGATGACAATTTACTACGACTTATTTTAAAATTTTGGACCCTGGGAGTTTAAAACGGAGGAGATGCTAAAATTCCCCCCACAGTGTTCCCAGTGCTTAAAGGCCTCCATGACAAGGAATTTAAAAATCCCCAGGATTTCTCATGTCATGATAGGATAATGCAAACAATTTCGATGTGGACAAGCTCTCTTATAAATTACATAAAAATTACATTGTTTTATATGATCAAACATGGCAATGTGTGTGAAAGTTCATAACCTAGTGTCCAACCTGTAAAAAGCTCCATAAATGTTACTTCTGCAGAATCTGTCTGTCTCTTTCAGTAAATTCTACCCATCCATTCTAGTTCTACTACTTGCAAGGGGGGTACAGTGGGGTGGGAGGTGGGGGCTCACACATTGGGTAACACCCTGCTATTCCTCTTTTATTCACCACGTACCTACCCAGCCTCCCCGAACACAATAGGTCTCATCCCCTCCCGTTCCTTTCTGATTCCTAAAGCTGTCCCTCCGCTCTCCTCTAAATGGCCTCCATTTTCCCCATGGTCCTCTTCCAGTAGAAAGCAACAAGCTCTGTGTGAAGCTATCCTTGCCCCCATTCTCTCAGTTCCCTATCAATATAGTCTTAGGATATGCCTCAGTTCCGCAGATGCCCTCTATCTCTGAGGTCACTGTCCCTTGACCAAGCTGGGACTTGTCGGAGCCACACCCAGTGAGCTAATGGCTCAGCGATCTCAGGACTACCTATAGAATTCTCTCAATTGTGTCAGCAGTTTAAAAGTTTGCCTGAGAACCTTTTAACCCAAATTATCTGTTTAACGTTATTATCTTGGTATTAATAAATTTTTTCTCTTTCTTGTCCTCAGAGGGATTCAAAACACAAGGAGATGCTGGTCATGTACATAATTGTTGAAATGTCAGAAAGATGAAATTCTGCTCCTTGGAAAGATTTCTGCGCAACCCCGTTTTTCTTTAAGAAAGGAATTACTGCCAGGCTGTTTTATACTTTGTGCTTGACAAGAGGCAAGGCAGTTAATTCCCACAAAGCCTACGTTTCTCAAGTAAGGAGGTCCCCTAATGCCAAAGTTGTAACTCATACAAGGCTTCAAAAAACAACAAACAAAAACAAGTTAGTAACAACTATCCACGAAGGTGAGGCACAAGGCAAGCAACATAGAAATGACACCGAATGCCGTCCATAGTAAAAAGAACCCCAGGATGAAGTGAATAGCTCCCACAAGAGAGCTAGTTTCTTCATTCCAAGGTCAAAATAACAGGCAGAGAGCTTAGAAATACCTAGAAATATCAAAAATCTGTGGCACGTAGGACTGAAACTGGGGTGGAGGATCCCTTTTAATCGCATGTATGGGAGAGAGATTTTTTAAAGAGTGTTTATAAGGTCATAATTAAACCTTACAAATGTGGTCTCTTCCGATTAGCTTAAATATTTCTCTAACAAATTTACTAAATATGGCATTTTTAAACAATAGCTTGACCTACAAAATGCATGGCAATTATATGCTGTGCTTTTAGAATGTTTTTCTAATTATAAGCTCTGGGTTCAGTAGCTTACCAATGCTTTAATTGAATTTCTCAGCAAGCAGCACTTCCTGCAAGTTGCGACCCAGCAAAGCCATACTAGAAGGTCAACTCATAGCATAGCCAGTGACGGAGGCTCTCACGTTATTTAGCTCTTCGGCAAACCAATAACGTCAGCAGATGGGCATTTTCAGCCAATGTATCTCCCATATAGGAGA